ATGACAGGGATTTTAATGAGGCGACGGGTATGCCATTCTTCAGAGCACATGCACGTTTTTGAAGAGAGTAATCTCCTAAATAGGAAAAAAAGTTTTGACTGCCTACACTTCAATAATTTTATTGTAAAGATTCTAAAGCTTTGAAGTGAGAAAAAAAAATATACAAAGGTTTAATTTGGCCTAATCACACTTCTGAGGACACTTCCAGTTGCGTGAGGACATCACCGTAGGTAGCTCTACGCTATCTGTTTCCTCAGAGTTGACCTCTTCCTAGGCACGGATTAATTTTTATGTCTAAAAAATATTTTGCTTTAATCAATTTATCGTATTTTATACTATGTGGAGTGAATGATCTCCTTTCTGCTATTAACATGGTACTTGTGGGATGCCAAACTGAGAAATAAGTGATATAAGGTGTTTCTGTTGGTGGTTCATCTATGGAAGCTTTAGCCCTGCCTATGATATGTTACATCATGCAAAAATATGACTTCTCTATAATTTTAAGAGTCATACACAGCTGGTAAGCCTTTTGATGTGTTCTCTAGGTGGTGGAGACTCACTTGGATTGGGCAATACGGTGTTTGAATCCAGGATATTTATGTGCAAAATTTGGTCTTTTTGGGAAAATTTGCAAATGTGGACTATTTTTTACTTCTAAAAATTTTGTACTGCTTTACATCATATTATATATATATTATGTATTATTATATATTACAGTCATAAAAATTGTTGGACCCTTGATAATGTATTTCTCACGTAAACGTATTGCTTTAACACATGTTTTGCTATAACATGTTTATTCCTTTTTTTGATTGGGACCAAAAAAAGGGAGGAGGAAAGAAAGCAAATGACATAATCACACAAACCTCCATGATATTGGCAACAACTGCGGATATTAAGTTTACAAGCATGTGATGCTCCTGTGGGCAAGTAAAAGGTGTGGGAAATAGAAATCTACCTGAAAGCAGATTAAAAAGGAGAGCGTTCACTTAACCTTTGCATTGTGTGTTGTCTGTGCCACACTAAGCATGGGACAACAGAAAGAGGAGACGAGAACTGTCCTGAGGACCTGAGAACCAAAATTGTGTTAACAATCATGCAATATAGAGACTAGATTGTGCTAGTAATTTAAGAGTTTGCAACCCTTGGCAACATAATCACAGGTCTGGTAAAATTTGATGATGCAAACTGCAGAAATAAGTGTTGGATAAGCTGTTCCAAAGACATAGGTGGTGGTGGCATCATCACTATGGACATTTAAATGGGCAGGAGACCAGGAGGACCCACTGCTGACACAGAGACATGTTTTGCCAAAATGTACTTGAGTAAGCCAAAAGCCTTCTGGGAAAACGTTTATGTGGACAGATGAGACCAAGATTTATATTCGGTTTGAATCCACTTTCTTGTTTACCGAAAACGGAATGAGGCCTATACCTACGGTTGGTGGTCTTTTTTCAAATGTTTTGGGGTTGTTTTGCTATTTTGACTGTTGCAAGGCTCATCTAATTTGGGCTTTACGGTGTGCAAATCCAGGGTCTTCCATGACCCCAAACATATGGCAAAGAAGCGCTGGAGAGTGAAGTGGCCAGCAAAATGAGCCCAGATGAACACCTGTGGAGAGATCTTTTTGCTGTTGTGTCTTCCAATAAGAGAGACCTGGAGCTGTTTGCAAAGTGGTCCAAAATTCCGGGTGAGTGTCAGAAGCTTATTGTGGTTATAGGAAGCGACTTCTGATTTCAGTTATGTTTTCCAAAGGGTGTGCAACCCAAATATTAAGTTAAGGGTGCCAATACTTTTGTCCAGTGGGGTGTGTTATGTCATATGTTTTATATTTGTTCCAATACATACAAAGGGAATAAACATGTGTGTGTGTATAATAATATATATGAAATATAGGATATATATAATATATAATATATATATATTTAGCATGGCACAGTATTTTCTACAAATAAGGTTTACAGCCTTTCAACTTTTCTTTTTGTTTTGTTTCTTCTTTAACCCTTTTGTAAGGGTCTTTCCTGAAACATACGTTGACCAATAGACATACCAATAATTTCATAATCATGTCAGTTTTAGAAGGATCACTTGTATACTAAGGGGAAGATGACAGGCTGTTTAGAGTCCATTATAGAAAATGACTAATAAGAATTCAGCTGCAGATTGCAACTTAAAGGATACGTTCACCTTTTGGAGCATGTTACATATCCCACCCGTTTTTAGGTTGGAACATGTAACATGTTCCCGATCCTGCAGCCGCCCACCCACTTTCTCCCCCCCCCTTCCTTGACAGGAGTACGGGGAGAAGTTCCCTGTACTATCTGTCAGTTTTCAAAAGCAGCGAATGCACAGACTACAAGTCCCGACATCCTTAGTGGCTGTTAGCTTGTAGTCCACAATGAACTACCATGGTGCTGTGGTAGTTCATTGAGTCTTCCTGTCAGGAGTTATTGATACACTGACATTGTGCAGGAGACCTGCATGGCGCCAGCAATCTGCTGATTGCTGGTGCAATGCTTTACAGGCTTTTAACACAAAAAATAATAAATGCACATTTTTTTTAACTGCAAAATAATGTGGATTTATTATTTTTTTGTGGAAAGGTGATCCTTTAATTTGTGCCAGCTTTTGCCATCCTATACTGCACCCTTCTTAATGTTCTTGCTGACTTACAACCTTTTTGAGCATTTTATGATATTTAAAGCACACCTATTAGAAGAGAAGTATGTGGTCTGCTTTTTCTTGGCTTATTCTGAACATGCTTGTTGTCTGTAGCTTTTATATTTCTGAATCACCCAGAACAAGCATGGTCAGCAATTGGATGAAGTTGGAATTTCTTATCACTACCTTTGTTTCCTGGGCTAAGTCTCAGAAAGCATTAAAGCCAGAGCAATCACCATAACAAGCAAGCAATAAGCATTTTCAGGAGGAGAAAATTACCTTTTATTTTATTCTCACAGGTGTATACCTCTATACTTCTGACATCTGTCAATGAGACACCACTTCTTTCAAAGGAAGGGGCGTCAAAAGCTAGTAGCAGGGAGGGACATTGTGCTATTAGGAAGGTCATTGCTGAGAGTACAGGAAAAACAAAAGCGCACACACAATTGATCACCAGGCTGTGGTGTCTTTTGATTATGCATTGGGAATATCTGACTGGGTTCAAAATTTGGATTAAACATATATTCTGGTTTAAAGTGTATCTAAACCCAAAACCAAAATGTAATAAATTTCAGTATACCAATCCTTAGATATGGCAGCTGCATTTTATTTTCACTTTTTAATTCTGCCACTGACATACTTCCTGTCCTAGTGTGACAACACTCACTGTATTGTATCAGTAATGGAGCAGCATTGTCACCCTATTGGTTCTCCTGGTTAGAACTACAGAACACTTTCCCTTTCCTCTTCGATGAATAGAGGAGGTGTTCTGTTTGCAGAAAAGAATTGGAAAGGCTGATACATTGTTTGAGATTTCAGTTCAGTGCACAGAACGTTCACAAGCTCACTGTATTTCTGGTAATGTGGACAGACATTTCACTGTACTTGCAGAAATATACCTGGTCTGAAAAAAAAAGTAATGCAGCCACCACATCTGAGGGACTGGTAAACTGAATATTTTTGTTCTTAGTTATAGGTTTAACTATTCAGTTACATAAACCAAACTGTGATTTGGTTTGGTGGCAGGTTATAAAATGCTAATTTATGATATAGTGATAATCCGCAATATTTTTTATTCTAGGACTGGCAACCTCCATTTGCTTGTGATGTGGACAAACTGCACTTCACTCCACGTATCCAAAGACTTAACGAACTTGAGGTAAATTTTGGTGTTAGTGGACTTGGTTCTTTAGTGTAACATTTTATATTTTTTTTCCTATCTCTATTTCTTTTTTCCGTCACTTCTCTACTACCTCCTTCAACTTCTTCTCCTCTTTATACCTTTTGTGCAGTACAGTTGGGCCACAAGCTCATTTTAAGGCCTAATTCTTCTTCTTACAGGTTAAGCTACAATATATATGTTTTAGATTTAGCTTGTACTTTCCATGATCTGGCACTTGTTTAACTTTTGCAATCCTATGAACATTAGGTTTGTCTGTATCATTTGTTCTGCTGTATGATCACATTCACAGTGACTTCTGTATATCTAAGGTACATGTAAGATTGTATTCTTTACTCCTTGGATGAACCTTTTTTTTTTCTCAATTCTTGAATAAAAAAATTCTTGCTAAAGGAATATTTCATGTAGAGTGCATTCGTAAAGTATACAGACCCCCTTCACTTTTTTCAATTTTTTATGTTGCAGCCTAATTCTACAGTTTTATTTTTTACTCTTATTAATCTACACTTGGTACTCCATAATGACAAAGTGAAAACAGAATTTTAGAAAGGTTTGCAAATGTATGAAAAAGGAAAATCTGAAATATCACATTGGCATAAGTATTCACACCCTTTGCAACAACACTTTAAATTTAGCTCAGGTGCCTACCATTTCTGTTGATCATTGCTGAGAAGTTTTCACACCTTGATTAGAAGTCCCATCTTTGGTGAATTTAAAATGATTGGACATGGTTTGGAAAGGCACACCCCTCTCTATAAAAGGCCTCACAGCTTGACCATGCATATTGTATCAGAGCAATGAGGCCAAAGGAACTGCCTGTAGAGCCCAGAGACAGGATTATTGCAAGGCACAGATCTGGGGAAGGCTGCAAAGAAAAAAAAAATGCACCGCATTGAAGGTTCCTAAGAGCACAGTGGCCTCCATAATTCTCAAATAGAAGTAGTTTGGCGCAACCAGGACTCTTCCAAGAGCTGGTTGTCCAGCCAAACTGAGCAATCGGGACAGAGCCTTAGTAAGAGAGGTGACCTGATGGTCACTCTGAGCTCTAGTGATCCTGTGTGGACATAGGACAGAGTTCCAGAAGGACGAGAATCGCTGCACCCTCCACCAATTTGGACTTTATGGCCTCTCAGTGAAAAACACATGAAAGCCCGCTTGGAGTTTGAAAAAAAAAAAAAAACACCTGAAGGACTCAATTCTAAACCTTATGTCTGGAGGAGACCAGGCACCACAATCACCTGCCCAATACCATCCCAACAGTGAAGCATGGTGGTGGCATCATCATGCTGTGGGGGTGTTTTTAAGCAGCAGGGAATGGGAGACTGGTCAGGTTTGAAGGAAAGCTGAATAGAGCAAAGTACAGATATATCCTCAGAAAGCTTTTACACAGCTCTCAGGACCTCAGACTGGGCCGTAGGTTCATCTTCCGACATGACAATGATCCTAAGTACACAGCCAAGATGACACAGGAGTGGCTTAGGGACAACTCTGTGAATGTCAGAGTAGCCCAGCCAGAGCCCTTACTTGAACCCTGTTGAACTGTTGGAGAAAACCAAAAACATATATTTTCTGAAAGCAGAGGACCCATAAAATATTGCTATAGTAGTTTTTAAAAATTCAAATTAACAAATGTTGTTGCGCTATGCCTTTTTTAAATCTAGTCTTAACCAATATATGCAATAATGCACCCTATAAATGTGTTATAGCTTGAAAACAATCCTATACAATGAGTACACCACATAAATGTGCAGTATCAAAACAATCCTACAACCAGATATGACAGTAACTCAGTGTTTGAAATCTATGCACCAAATATAAATATGCTATACCTTTTAAATAAGCTGTGATAAACCACAAAATTTACAGTAATGCAATGTGTATTTATGACCACTATGCATATATGACACTACTAACAGTGCTCCACCCTTAAGGAAATAACAAAAAAGTCTGTAGTGCTTAAGTAGTATCCAGCTTCTCCCTGTGAATATCCACCTCTAACCACCTGCTAGGAACCCAAATTATAGGTGGTCTTACTAAACTTTCATCTCTCAGAATACAGTTGTCATCGGGCATAAAGAACTCACAAGACATCAAGAGGGGCAATGGAGGCAGGGCACCTTTTAAGAACCTGGGACCTCAGAAAATACCACTTAGTACACTTCGCTCAGTCCCATAATACCAATCCAGCAAAAGAAAACAAACGGCAGCCCATAGTTTAAAAGTGTATACTTTGAATAGTGTAAATCAAGTGTACATTTACTCAACATCGCTGCGTATAAGGCATAAAAAAAATTATTTCAAGCACCATCGCTGACTTGGTGGGTGTGATGACGTTTGCACAGGTTCTCCCCCGGCGTGTTTGCTCCACTACGACATTCTCAAGGGGTTGGCTGAAAAGCCATTGTATTGGTCAAACAGTGTCTTTAAATTTACTGTATATTTTCATTCTGAAATTTCATTCTAAGAAAAACAAAAAAAAAGTTGCATACAATCAAAGGATCTTGTACTTAAAGGTGACTCTAACAAGCAGATATCTAAAATTGGCTTTACAAGCTGCCCAAGAGCCCTGCAACCCAGGAAGATCTAATTTACAATTTGCACATTTTAAAGCACGTAAGGTTTTGGAGCTCTTGGGGTGCTTCAAAAGCTGTACAAAGGTTCACACAGACACCTCTTAGTTATCTGCCTTTTATTACATAACCAGTTTTGTAGCTTTACTAAAATGACCCCTCCCAGCTGAGTAACATGAACACACCTAATTTAACCGAGTAGTGCATTCCGTGTTGGGTGCTTAAGTTATCTTTTAAATTTTTAAATGGTGATTTTATATACCTTTTTTTTAGGATAAGTAGTAATCCTGAGAAAATGCCTCCCTTGTACGAGCCTGGTGGTATGAGATTCATTTTTAACAAGGACAGGTGTCAACCATTATAATATTTATATTGTGCGAATATGCATAAAAGAAAATGACATGTAAAATGTACAGATTTCTGTAGTTCACTTGACCCAAAGCCCCAGGTGACAAGTGTCTGATGCAATTGGCCACCATGTTCTAATAATATTCTTGTCGATTGTGTACTTGTTTGCAAACTGAGTAATCCTGGCAGTGGATGCATGATCCTCAGGGGGCAAGGAGGTTAAAACCTTTGGAAAACCCATGATGATGTGATGGTATGAAAGGATCCTTTTAAAAACAAAGGGAACAAGGAGTGTAGAATAAGGGAGTTTGTTTGCTAAGTGGAGAGCAGGTACAACACAGTCAGGGGGCATAGGAGATACTGTATTTTTCGCTCCATAAGATGCACCTGACCATAAGACGCACCTAGGTTTTAGAGGTGAAAAACAAGAAAAAAAAATATTCTGAACCAATGGACTGCAGACACAGTACAGGAGATGACCAGAGACTGCGGACACAGTGCAGGGGATGACCAGGGACTGCGGACACAGTGCAGGGGATGACCAGAGACTGCGGACACAGTGCAGGGGATGACCAGAGACTGCGGACACAGTGCAGGGGATGACCAGAGACTGCGGACACAGTGCAGGGGATGACCAGCGACTGCGGGCACAGTGCAGGGGATGACCAGCGACTGCGGGCACAGTGCAGGGGGTGACCAGAGACTGCGGACACAGTGCAGGGGGTGACCAGAGACTGCGGACACAGTGCAGGGGATGACCAGAGACTGCGGACACAGTGCAGGGGGTGACCAGAGACTGCGGACACAGTGCAGGGGGTGACCAGTGCGGACACAGTGGGGGATGACCAGAGACTGCGGACACAGTGCAGGGGATGACCAGAGACTGCGGACACAGTGCAGGGGATGACCAGAGACTGCGGACACAGTGCAGGGGATGACCAGAGACTGCGGACACAGTGCAGGGGATGACCAGAGACTGCGGACACAGTGCAGGGGATGACCAGAGACTTCTGACCTTTGGGGAGAGAGGGGGAGCGGGTACCTGAATTTGACAGGTACCCGCTCCCACTTCCGCGGAGTTGTCCTTCCCTCTTCTTCCCGGGCCGGCTTCTGTGACAGCCGGGTGCCCACTGCGCATGTGCGAGAAGCGCTGCGCTTTGTGAATGGCCCGGCGCCTTCTGGAACCTTTCATGTGTCCCAGAAGACACCGGATCATTCACAAAGCGCAGCACATGCGCAGTGGGCACCCGGCTGTCACAGAAGCCAGCGCGGGAAGACTGTGCAGCGCTGGAGCGAGGAACAGGTAAGGCCCTGCAGAAGACAACAGCTGAGCGGCCGGCCCGGTATTCTGACATGGTGGCCGCAAAAATACCGGACCAGCCGCTTTATATTCGCTCCATAAGACGCACTGACATTTTCCCCCCCTTTTTTAAGGGGAAAAAAGTGCGTCTTATGGAGCGAAAAATACGGTACTTATGTAAAAACAGGTGAGGAAAAAGAAAAATATTAGTGTAAATCCTGACAAAACAGGGAAAAGAAGGGTTAGCACGGCAGTTCTGAATTCAGGGGGTAATTTGGGAATAAACAGCACGGACTTGTAACAGGTAGAAAAGAAAGGGAAGAAATCGGCACAAGCAGTTACTTTACAGAAGGTTCATAATACAGCATGCAAAAATGTGGAAGAGCAAAAGTAGAGGAGAACAGTGCTAATGAGGGATGCTAGAGAAGGAATGATGAAGCTCTAAAGTAAAAGGACACTTGGGAAAGCTGGAAAAGGTACAGTGAGATTGTGGGGAAATGTTGAGAAAATGCTTGCGTATGGGTGAGAAAGGGTGGTGAGACAGTGGAATGATTTAATCAGTATATGAGTGTGTGTTCTTGTGGGGTTATGGAGACAACACATTATGAACTGTTATATAGTTGTGTAAATACTAGTGGTGCATGAAATGAAAATTCTGGTGCCGAAACCGAAAATTCAAAATGCACTTGGCCAAAAACCGAAATGTGCAGTTTTAAAAATGAATATCTATTTTTTTGGAAAAAAAAATACACTTTGAGAGAAAAAACTATACCCCAATTTTTTTGTAAAATATGTAAGAGGATGTTACGGCGAGTAAATAGATACCCAACATGTCACGCTTTAACATTTTTTTATTTATTTAATGTTTTTTGTATTTTTTTTTTTTTTTTTTTGCAATGTCCCTTTAAAAAAATTTGTAATCACTTTTATTCTTCTCACAAGAAATGCATACATCCGTTGTGATAGAAATAATTAGTGACAGGTCCTCTTTATGGCTGGATATGGGGTCAATAAGACCCCACATCTCTCCTCTGCAATGTAAAGCATTGGATCAAAAAAAAGCATTGATCTAGTGCTTTAAAACTAAAAACAAAATGGCTGGGACCAGAAGTGACATCGCTCCGGTCTTCCAAGGGCATAGAGATGAGTGGAGGCCATTTTTCCTTCACTCTTCTCTATGCCCACCGCCGGGATCGCTCGATGGTTTCTCAGGTAAGTCTGAGAACTACCGAGCGGCGGCCAGTGGCGGCAGCAGTGACGAGGTGCTGTTTTTCATTACGGCCGAAAGAGGTGTTTTCGACCACCGAAATTTTGGTGCATCCCTAGTAAATACACTTCATTACCTATTTCTGATAGTCTGTATGCATATCCAATAATTTAATTTGGTTGTTAATAAATTGAATCAAGTGGTCTCAAAACTGCGGCCCTTTGACTGTTTTATCTGGCCCATGGGGCAATTTTTCCTCCCACTAATACAAAATGCTATTCCTCCCACTGATACCAACAATGGGGCATAATTTCTGCTACTGACATCAACAACTGGGCACTATTTCTTTCATTGACACCAATGATGTGGCACTTTTCCTCCCGCTGACACCAACGATGGGGCGCTATTCCTCCCTGCTGACACCAACGATGGGGCGCTATTCCTCCCGCTGACACCAACGATGGGGCGCTATTCCTCCCGCTGACACCAACGATGGGGCGCTATTCCTCCCCGCTGACACCAACGATGGGGCGCTATTCCTCCCGCTGACACCAACGATGGGGCGCTATTCCTCCCGCTGACACCAACGATGGGGCGCTATTCCTCCCGCTGACACCAAACGATGGGGCGCTATTCCTCCCGCTGACACCAACGATGGGGCGCTATTCCTCCCGCTGACACCAACGATGGGGCGCTATTCCTCCCGCTGACACCCAACGATGGGGCGCTATTCCTCCCGCTGACACCAACGATGGGGCGCTATTCCTCCCGCTGACACCAACGATGGGGCGCTATTCCTCCCGCTGACGCCAGGGCAATTTCTTTTCCTGATGACCACAGTCTGGCCCCCTAAAACCTGAAGGACAGTAAATTGTCCTTTGTTTCCAAAGTTTGGAGTCCCCTGCTCTATAAGCTAGGTTCACACTGTTTGTGATATGATTTTGATCCGACTTTTAGTGCGAATATGTAGTGAACTTTGGTAAGGTTTGTATATTCTGTGGGTCAACATCGCACTGGAATCGCACCAAAGTAGTACAGGAAACTTTTCCAAAATCGCTCCATGCTGAATTGCATTGATGTGAATGGATACCATTGAAAATGTGAATTCCCTTATGTGAATTTGTATCTGAAATCACACTAGTGTGAACCTGGCCTAATGGTTGGAGTAGCACGATAAGTTCACCAGAATGTTCATGTGGGCCTGAATTCTGGGGCTGTTGCAAAATCAAATGGTGCTCTACTACTAGATTTACAAACCGATGAAGAATGCAGCTATAGAGAAAAGTAAAAGAAGGCTGCAATCCAACTCTAGTAGATTTAAAAATGGTTATCTTAGTTGTACAGTACAGGACACAGGGCTTGTATTCGTAAACCATTGATTATTTGCAGGCTACCCCTAAGGAATGAGCACTATCCTAATGCACACACACATAACCCTGTCCACTCCAGCAGACAGCAGTTATTTGCTAGTGTCTTTAGGAGATGGACTGCTTCATCTTTTTGGAGAAGTTTTTTTCTTTTTAAACAATCCTTTTTTTTCTTCTTCTTATACTTTTATCAAGCTGTGGCTGCTTATTGCCGTGGGAACAAAATGGAATTTCTATCTCTGCCCTTCCCTTGCTTCCTACTCTCCAATCTATTAACATCTGCTCAAAAACTAGCAGATTTACTGGCTGCTGTGTGCTTGCTTCAGGTACAAGCTGTGGTTGTACCAATTCCTTCAGCGGAAAGGTTCCCAAACCTATTCAGTCCCCAAGGCAGCAATTCCTTGTAGAATTGGCAAGATCTGTCCTTGTTGCTCTTAGGCAATGCAAATTTCTATCATCAATAGACACTGGATATAGGTCTATACTAATACGATTATACCCAATTTTGGTGGAACATGTCAGAGAGGTGCGACCAACCGGGTGGGAATTAGAGCTAAAACCTGTTTTTCATGTGCCTTGCACTGGAGTTCAATACAGTGTGTGGGGATACCTGTATGCCATATTATATCTTGGACGAGATGTGCTCGATCTCAGCCAGCACCTGAATACAGAGTGTAAACCTTGGAGACTGATACTGCAGGCTTGGCGCAGTATACTTTTGGCAGGCAAACTTGTATGATGCCAATGCCTGGGCCTTGAGATCTTCCAGAATCTGTCAAAGGTAGGAGAAACCAGATGTGGACATCCTGGCCCATCAGGTTTGTAGCCAGGTCCAGGGAACCAGGCCTTTGGAGTGGATGTCCTGGTGATTCCTTGAACTCTATTTAGGGTTATATGGTTTCTCTTTGATCAAGAAGAGAGGACAATATCCTAGGTGGAAAGAAGAGACCAATCTGAGCAGAAAAGACCTTGTCCTGTGCAAAATATGAAAAGGATTTTTACAAGAAAAGGTTGCCAGCTCAAACACACCTAACTGATGGATTGGTCACAATGAAGTCAATAATTAAGAGATTTTCAAATGGGATATATGAAATAGGCTCAAAGGAAGGTCTCTGGAATACTGAGAGCACCAGCATGAGCTCCCACGATAACACAGGGTGTCGAATTAGGCTATTTATAGTAACTTCCTGAAGAAAAGTCTTGATTAAAGATCGCAAAGCAAGGGGTTTCTAAAAACCTGTCCTGGACTCAGCTGTCAGGCAAAGTAGGCTCTTCCATGTGCGATCTTGCAGGAGGTAGATTTTCTCATTATTAGGTGGTAATAACAGAGTTAGATATAGTCCTTGGTATCAACAGTACTGTTGTTAAAAAGCCAGCGACTGAGAAACGGAGTGGAATAGGGTGACTTCTGCCACTAAGTCTGGTCTGGTTAGTTGAGGCTCAACCATCAGGAATCTATGTACCAGGTCATTCTGGGCCAACTCCGTACAGTGAGGATCACCATAACCCTCTATCTTGTGCAGCAGTCAATTAAGCATCTTTAGAAACAGAAAAGCGATGGCAAAAAAACTAAGTGGTCTATCGAGTCTATGCTTTTTTTTATACATGTTTTTCTTTTCTTTCTTTTTTCTTTTTTGTTTTTCCTTATTCTTTCTTTTTTGAAGACAGAACCAGATTAGGGCTTCTTATTTAAGGAGTGAGAAATTCATGATCTGAAACAAAGATAGAAAATTTAGAAACATAATTTTGATGGTACTGAAAGAAAAACACTG